GGCTGGTAGGTATTGAAAATGTCCTTTTAAAATTGTATCCTTGAAATTTCGAAATATTTGTTTTTGAAAAACTAATATGTTAAGGACTTATATAAACTCGATAACATCGCCCTAATTTTATCAGTTTAAAAAATTACCTATTCGTCCTTGTAAATCTAAAAAAAATAACAATTTTCTCTTTCATTTGGTATCCATGTTTTTTCTACGTTGCATTGAATTTTTGAAATAATTTTTGGAATGAATCAAATAAAATAACAAAATCCTTTAAAATAAATCCTGGCGTCAGAGAAAAAAATAAAATAAAAACGCCACTTTAAATAAGTGGTAGTAAAAAGTAGGTTTCAAACCCATTNTTTTTTTTTTTTTTTTTTTTTTTTTATGTATGTTACCGCATAACTTTGGACCACGTCAACCGATTTCGATTTGCATCGGAAAGGTAGTGTCTCAGAGGTGGTCCCATACTAATCTGGTTAAGATCCGATCAGCGGATCATGAGATATATATATATATATATTTATATATATATATATATATTTGGGAGTTGAAGTCGGTTTTTTTTTCTAAAAGTAATGAATATGAAAATCCCAGGACTAATCCAGGGATCCCGCGATTGTGATAACGACATCCCGAAAATCCCGGCATATTAAAAAGCGAAAAATTAACATCCCTAACAAGTACATAGACGTTAAGAAGAAAGTTTACCGTCCAGTTCGCTTCTTCGCTCGTTAATTAGGCAAAATTATTTGCCTCGTTTCGTGGTTCTTTTTTCAGCCGAAACGTGGAGCTCAACAGCTGCAAATAGCACTGTGGCAGCAATTAACTTTCTGTTAGTTCCACATAAAAGGTAAAAGTCAAAATTCCCCGAAAATTACTCTCATAGAATTCGAGTTAAAGAATAGAATTAGAAACTTTAAATTTGACACTATACTGAGGTGAAGGTAAAACTATCTTGGATGCTTTAGTATTTACTCGAAGATGACAAAGTTAGCGAAGCGGTAGTCTAATCTTGGCCGAAAATGAGCACTCAAAAGCCAGTTGTTATTTGAGGGATGCGGGAGCATCCCATGATCTAGAGAACAAAGGTTGGGCACTGTATGGAAATTTATTTTTTTTTCGTGACAATTTCTAATATCTCGAGATCCGTCCATCTCGTACCGCTATTACCCTATCAGTGAACTTGACACAATCTCTGTTTGTATGACGTCTCACTTGCGAAACTTGTTTACATTTTTTTGCAAACATTTTTCTTCTTCTTCTTCTTCTTCTTCTTCTTGCATTCTTCTTCGCGTTTTGACATTTCTCTCCCAAAAATCCTGTATGATGTGTGCAATCTTGTATTCTATCATTCTTGGAGCATCCAAATCTGCTGGCAACAGAGACAAAAGTAGCAAAATGGCGGCTTGAAATTCTACTTAACTTTAGCTGTTTTTAGGACTAGCCAAGGACGAAAATTTCTATGACCCTTAAATGCTCCCGAAGTAAGCTATCAAACCAGTAATTTTTCTATCGCATGGGGACCGAACCGGTCTAATGTCTGTACATATGTATGTACACACATTTTTATGTTTGTATGTATGTAAAAATGCAAATGATTACTTTCACTCTGGCCGACTGTACGATGCTTTTAAAGTTGCCCATTTAATGGCTCATTTCCTGTCCCCGCCGGAAGTAGCAACAGCTGCTCTTATGTAGTTCAATTACTTACCCAGTTACCAGCATTTTCAATGACTTCTTCTCCAAATATTTGGCCAGGAGGGTGGGCTTAGTGGAAAACCAGTGGTGGCGAAGATGTAAGCCAGTTGCTAATTTGGCAATTCGAGCGTTTAGTTGACAACAGCGTTAAGTAGTCACTTTAGTACTTAAATCATTAGCGATGATTACATCACCCATTCGGTGGAAGTTTAAGTAACTGTTACTGGCTGCTACTGGTTGTTGTCGTTGTCGTTGTCGTTGTCGGCGGTCAAATAGCTCGCTGTGGTTGCCATGAACGTGCATACATACATACCTACATATGTATGTATGTATTTGACAAAAGGGTGATTTTACATATACACAAGTATCTATCTCGGGATTCCACCGCCCGAATTAAAGATTTGGAAAACGCAGTTTCGATAGAAATACATATAAATTTAAGTACTTTTTTGGCGCAAATTGCATAGTGATTCCGCGCGGATTACAGCGGTTCATAAATCCGCTGTGTTTATTATTAAAAATTCAATTTAAATTCAAACGCAGAAAATAAATTTACAAATACCAAAGCGGCTAAGCTCCACAATTCACATACACGCTCGAGCGCACATAACGGCATAACAGCGCGGAAAAAGCGGGCTCAAATAGGAAATCCGCCTTGCTACGCTTCAATGCGACTCAGCCTACAACCAATGCTGCGCCAGAAAAGCACAAAAAATAAACAACAAAGCAAAAACATATTCGTCCCGTATATCCGTAAGAATAACATATGAATTCGCGCTAAGTCGCATGTGGCCGGCCGATCATTGGAAGAGTAGCGTTTTGCCGCCCGCAGTTGTGTATTCAAATTTACGCTTAGTTATGGATATCTACGTACGTACCTATGCATATACAAATGTATTTTGTACAGGCTCTTTGAATCTACATACCGCTTGAGCGCGCATTGGCGGCGCATGGTTGACGTTTGACTGGCGGCTTAAGTTGCGCGCTCCTCACTAAAACAATGGTGGCATTCGCTAGTGAGTGCATCTAGCAACGCTGCTCATGCTGCTTCATTGCATTCTTTTCATTTCCGTTGGCCGGCCTGCATTTGGCTGGCGCAAAATAATAATCTCCGACGTATTTAGTGTTGCGACCGATTTGGGTTTGAAGGAAAGGCGCTGGGATGTGGGAATCGCGCGCGCATTGCGGTCGCGCCAACGCAGACCCCGGATTTAATAGTTATAGAAATACAAAATTGTTACAAATTGTTGCGAAAAGCTATAGTAGCAGTATATAAAACAAACAAAATTAAATGACACTCTCTCTCACTATACAGGCGTGCTAAATGAATATTTTTATAGCCAAGCGCTTAAACTTCTGCTGTGGCTGAGTGGTTAGAGATGCGTAGTAGCCCTATGTAGGACCTGAGTTCGATTCCTGGCTCAGGTAACATCCTAAATAGAAAAAATAATTTCGCCCCTCGGCATTCAAAGGCAAACCTCCCGGTGTATTTCTGCCATGTAAATGCTTCTCAAAAAATCCATTCGCCGTTGGTCCTTCCAGTTGTGTAACAACAGCAAGACGCACATCACAAATTATAAATATTTCTTAAACTTCGACTCACAGGCTAACTCATTCATATTTGAAAACAAATAAATGGTATTAAAAATTAATTTTTTTTTTCATTTTTTTTTGTGTTTATTTATGGCCTTATAACAATTATATTCAACACACATGATCAAGCAATAAAATTGTTGAACAAAATTAATATTTTTCGCAAAAAAAAGGAACCAAAAAGTGTGTATACTTAGGAAAGATACTATCAGCCCAATTCTGAATACTCCCGAGAAATTTGTTCTTACACATACATATGCTAGTGTTTGGCCGAACTTCTCCTCCGATTTGTGGTGTGCGCCTTGATGTTGCCATACAAAGGGGAAGGGCCTACAGTTTTACGCCGACTCCGAACGACGATTTTTTTTTTATGAGAAGCTGTTTTTCATGGCAGAAATGCACTCGGAGGTTTCCCATTGCCGGCCGAGAGGCGACCGTTGTTAAGAAACAACCTTTTTTCCTCATTTTCTGCTATGATGCTTTGACCAGGGCTTAAACCCAGGCGGTGTGGAGCGGAGGCGCGCCTTCCAACGTCTACTAGATTTGCCATATAAAGAGGCGCAAATTCGGTGTTGGATTTGTGGTGGGAGAGAGACACCGTCGCCAAGTACTGGCGTTCACTCTGGCGGACGAACGTCTTGCCACAAACCGCATCAAAGCGAGATTATTCAACATCTCGCTCATCTGTGCCCAAGACCCGATGGCCCCTATGGCCCCGATGGAAGAGAAAGAAGAGGCGTCGAAGGATCTCTTCTATGCGATTTCAATGCCAAGGTTGGACTGAGGCTGATCCACTCCGCCGGGGCCCGAAACATGGTATTATGCAGTACTAGATTCCAGAATTAAAAGATCGATCAAGCTACATGGCTGTCTCCGGATCGAAAAACCAAAAAAACCAGATCGTCCGTGTTTGAGGGATTTTGTTGCAGACTATGCAAGGAAAGCTAACGTCAAAATGCTGCAATCGCAACAGACCGCTTATTTATTCGCAACTGTACTCTCACACCTGATCTCTGAGAGCACTCTTCAACAAAACGACATACGAGAGTAGTGGAACTACATTTTCCGCTCATTAAGTGCAGCCGCCACAAAAGTAGTCGGATTTCTGCGAGCACGAAGGAACAATTGGTACCATGAGGAGTGTCAAGACACTGCAGAGAAAAAATGTACCGCCAGCGGGGACTCACTGCCTCTTTAGATGAAAACACACTCAATGATTTCTCTATCCTTTTTATTGAAAGATTAGTGGCAAACTCAGTGAGTTTGGATTCCGGTATGGAAATATTTGCTGAACAAAAAGCAAGACGCGGAATCAAATTTTGTGTAGTATTTAAAGCCATTCTAAATTCAATAGAAATTGTTTGACATACCGAAAATATTTGTTGGTTTATGAAATGTATGTATAACAAAAGTGGGCCCCCGAAGAGATTGCTGACTGGGCCCTTTTTCTTAAATCCGCCACTGCTGTTAACATTTTTGGTCCTTTTTTCGAACTAATACGTATACATGCATACACACTTCTGTATATATAAAGATGTTTTTTTCAACAAAAATACACCTTTGCAATCATTCCCTGTAAATGTTTGTTTTATTTTGTCCGCAACGTCGGTTTCTTCTTCTATCACAAAAACACTTTCAATTCCCCATTTTGTGTAAACTTTTCGTATTTTATCTCTGCTTGATTTTCATCACTCGCATTATTTTCCTACTTACAGGGCGAAAGTGCTGGAGTGCTCTGCCAAGGAGGATCACAACGTGACTGACCTTTTCAAAACGTTGTTGTCACTGTCGCGATTTCTACCCGTCGGGAGCAATAATGACGGCACAAGTGGACTGAAGCGGCGCTCTTCGGCATATGTTAGCGCATCGTCAAGTAGAAGTAAGTACTCTTGGCAGCTAAACGCTCAGCCAAATCAAACGAACAAACGAACAAACTGACACAAACAGCCAAGTGCTGTGGCACAATCGAAAGAGCGGAAAACGCTACTTGATATCCAAAAATGAACAGCACGCAGAAAGCGAAAATCAAGTCTAAGTAAATTAAAATGCACCTGGTACGATTTCGCCCGCCCTTTCCACCTCCCAACTTGCTCAAAGTCTGCGATGCGAATGGCAAAAAGAGACCAGTTAGTTTCACCACTGCCCGCCTTTGAGCATCCGTTTTTTTTTTTTCTAATTACTTGACGTAGCTTTAAGGGAGATGGCTTTTCCTTGCGAACTCCAAGGAGTAAAATTGCACACACTTCTTCCTACTTCTGCTTATTCGCTTCTGCGGAGCAGTACAATGTTGCAAAATTTGCTCAGGAGCTCGCCTGAAAGTAATTGAAGCCTAAAGGCCTGGACGAGAACTTGGGTACCACCAGCTACACTATCGAACTCAGCAGAAATCTGGGATATGTTCCTAGAATTCTACGCAAGCTTTACAAAAGGGCGACAGATATTTTTATGGGAATTTTCGCCACGAATAGGATGCTATTAAATTTTGTAAGGTATCCAGCACTCACGAAATCAAAAGCGCTGAAAAATCTGCAAATAGTACGAAGAAGCGCGCCATTTTCTTCAGGCCCACATACGCCCCTTAAATCCGATCTAATTTCTCGAGAGGTGGCCAATATTGTAGCAGGAAAGCTTAAAGCAACCATTTCATGAAATTCCGATAGGAAATTATTTTAATTATAAGTATAATTCAATTTATTATGGGCGTCTGAAAAGCGGGACAATAAAGCTAACTGTAAAGGAAAGGTAGGATCACCCACATTTGTTCGGCGAGAAAAACCGGTAGAGATACCAATGCGCAGCTGTAAAAGTTTACTATATTTAGTAGCCAATGTACGCTATAACAGTCTGTCGTCCTGCGAAATGTGCAGAGTTACCTGAGCTTCCTATAACAGGACACGCATATCGGCGCTCTTAAGTTTAAACAGAAATAAAGCGCATACATGGTTCTATAAAAATGATTCCAATATCTTCATTTATTTATGAATTTCTTATAAAGAGAGGTGCAAAATATTTTGTTATCTTTTTTTATCTAAAACTAAAGTTAGAAGGATTGATTCGAAATTCGAGGATGTGGTAGTTAACATATTAGTCTTTGACATATATTTTTTTCAAAAAGAAATATTGGAAATGTCCAAGGATATTCAAGGATAAAGTTTTAAAAGTAAATTTTCCAACACTTATTCTTCCAGGTTCACCAAAAAATAAAATTTTTTCAATTCTGCAGAATGTTTCCTTTTAATTGATACCCATATTGTTACTCTACAATTCACCAAATCTTTTAAATAATTTTTTTATTCAATCATATCCTAGAAATTTCAAAGTCCTTTAAACAAAAATTCTGACATCAGAGAGAAAAATTGAAAACGCAGTTTTACTATATTTGGCTTCTAGTTTTGTTGATACATTGATTTTTTCGTGTGTTTTAAACATTTTTAGTTTTCGTCGCACAGTGTTATTATATGAGGTTACGTTAAAAGTCGCAAATATGAGCAAATTTTATTTTTTTTTTTTTTCAAAAACCGAAAGAGAAGATTCCAATCTTTACTTTTTCTACATCTAGCAGACGGAAGAAGACCGAGGGAGCAAAGTTTTTGTCCATGAAATGTGTTAAAATCAGCATTTGTAAAGTATAACTTTTGTTTACTTATATTTATTAAAACAGTTGGTTGTTTACATTGATTTTTTCTAAAGTTCATAGCGGCAAAACATTGCTTCGCACCCTAGTGAGCTTGTTAACATAAAAATTGTCCTATATTGATAATTTAATTTCTTATCATTGAATACATTGGGATCATCTCAACACACAAAAAAAAATCATTTTCTTGTCTTATCATCACACACACAGAAACATGCATGCAAAAAGAGACGAGTCATGAAAAGTAAGTCAAAGTCAAATCACGAGTACTTTTCTATCCAATATCTGTATGTATGTACATACTATGTATGAAATTTCTTCCTGCTTTTTTCCAGTGCCGTCAGTGAGTTTACACTAGTCATTCTCACTCAAAAAAAGTGTCAAACTCATGTCGACATTACAGTTCTCGTCAGCTGATTCTTCTCACATCTTTACGTGACTTGTTGATTTTTTCATAAAAATTCCTTCTTTAGATTAATTTCTGAAATGCTTGTCGTTTTCGTTGCTCCTGAACAAACGTCAAAAAAAATAAAATAAAATATATGAGAAAAGCGACCATTATTTTCGTGGAATTTTGCCCACGCTTAAATTCGAATTTCGCATCATCAACTTGCATCGCTGCTCATCTCAAACATTGTACTTATACTTCCTCTCTCTTCTCTGCCACAGATTTCTGGTATTCACTACTTTTTTGTTTTCAATTTTACTTTCTTTATCTTCTGCCAAGGATGCATGTATCTGTGTGTGTGTGTATTTGTGCTGCAATTGCAACATCGCGTGCAGAGCGCATAATTGCTACAAATTCGACTGCGGCATCGGCAGTTACATACAATGTGGTCTTCAATGTGTTTGTGTCACAGCGAATAGAACAAAGGTTGCCATTGGAGTTCCAGGTGCCGGCAGAGTTCACTCAGTGTGCCGTGGCGTGTCAAGGCGTTTCCTAGTACCCACGAAGGTTTTTTTTTTTTGGGACACATCGCGGCAGCGGTTGTGTTCGACAGTTTTGCATTTGTTGCAATACACGGCTGCCTTTTCACCTTTTTCGCCCTGTTGCACACTGAGGTTACACGGGAGCTGTGGTATTTTAGAGAGTTCACTTTTATTTATTATTTTTGTTCTCACGAAAGTAGATGTTGCAAGGCCTTAATCTCCCGCAGCATTACTAACTAAATATATGTATGTATGTATGTATGTACGGGTATACATATACAGATGTAAGAATTCAATTATTCAAAAGTTAAATACCGTCAGTGGCCGGCGTAATCGTTGTTACGCTGATGAAGTGGAATTGTTGGTAGCGTAGATTTGTTCCAGGAAATTGCATGCCACAGACCACGTGTTGCAAGTTAGCGTTAGGTGGCACTCTTTACATTAGTCTGTTTGATAGAAAATGTTTCATGTAAATGTGTACAAACTTCTTACTTACATACATACATACATGCATACATTAATAAAAACACGACGCGACGATATATATTAGATATATATATATATTTTTTTTTTTTTAAGCCGTTTTTTTTTGCTAAAAATTATTATATCTATTTTTTATTTTCACTGAACAACTAATATTTAAGCAAAAAACAAAACCGACTTCCATACTCATATAAAAATGTAATTCGTATGATTCAATAATCGAAGCTAAACCAAATTAGTATGGGACCACCCCTGAAGTAGAGATTCCAGAGATTTTAAATCGACGAAATCGAAGATCGATTGATTGAGCCCTTCCGATTCGATTTTTTGCCGATTTTTTAGTTCCGATTCGATGCGTGAATCGATTCACAAAAATTTGAGAAACCACATTCGATATTTCCTCAATTGATGCATATTGATCTACGGTTTACCTCAGAAAATTTATAAAATTTTAAAGAAATTTGAATTGGTTGCTAGTAAAAAAAAATAATGGCCTTGAGAGAGCAAAGACCAAAGAATTTAATGACATACATCTCTTTCTCCTCGCGACTAAAGGGCTCCTCAGGGAAGTCTCTTGGTAATAACTCTATATAAAATTATGGCTAAAAACCCCAGAAATCGGTTTTCCAAACTTTATGCAAATTATCATAAAAACTTTGCACTCCTGCAATTACTCCTTTTATCAAAAATTCTAGTACGTATGCAGTTTTGCAACAAATATTTTCTAAAAAGGGTAAATATAGAATGAGCGAAAATAAAAATAAAAAAAAACTAAAAAGCGTCCGTATTGCAAAAAAAACTACATATTTATATACGCAAGCTCCTTTGTATTATACACTTTTTAAAATAGTGGTTAATTTCGAAGCAAAGCACGAAATTTTTTCTGGATATTGAAACGGCTACGAAAAATTTGTGTATGCTTTAAAAATTACAATAATAGTTTGGATAGANTTTTTTTTTTTTTTTTTTTTTTTTTTTTGTTAAAATTAAGTAAAATACGTTATTTCATACCCCCTATGTACATACAGCTTGCTTGGAGGGTGAGGATAGCGCAGATCATTTTCTACGTAGCCGTCCGGCCATCGCCAAACTGAGGTGGTGCATTTTTGTGTCAGTTGTGTTGATGATAGACGCGTTACATTCTTATTTCATATCCCTTCCTATCCTCTCTCTGTGTGCTTTGAAAATTTATCCTGGACTATCCGGCTTATCACAGTTCCATTGTGTAATTGTATAATTCATTTTAAATGAGAGTAGTACTCTGGTATCATTGGTAGTCTGTTAATTAATTCACCCTAGGATGCACCGTTTACTTTATAAATTTCATAGATAACCAAATAGCACTGCGAAGTATCTGATTTACTTGGAAGGTATTGATGTCTGTTCTGAAAATTACTATGTGTCCACCACACCCAGCCGCTGGTCGATTTCCAACTAATTATGAGCTTAATAAAATAGCGAGATAAGTAGAACTTCATACTCGTACAAGTATAATGGCTCTGTTACGCGCTACTCATTCTCTGGCTTTTATGTCACCCGGTTCGCATCACTTTCGATTGCTAGAAAATTTATGCTTTATTTTTATGTATTTTTCGCACTTATTATATTTTCCGTATTGCATTACATTTGTCTGTTTGTACTTTTAATTGAGAATTTCAGCTGAACTCAACACGCTCGCCTGTACACAATGGGAGCGACGAGCGTATAATCGGCTTATTGGCTGACAAGTTCCAATAATATGCAGGAAATGTCACACAATTTTATGTGTATGTATGTACACGTGTATGTATGTAGTTAGTTGCACAGACCGTGAGCATGTATGTGGCCAGGTA